TTTAAATATGCACTAAATTTGTGTTTTTTAAGTATTTTTTTGGTCGTACTTTTCGTATATAAAAAAAAAACTACAGAAGATAAAAGCGTATACTTCAACACGATTTTGGAAGAGGTACTTTAAAAAACGATATCGACAATAATATACAAAGGCATGGCATGAATTAAAGGAAAGCAATAGGTGAGCAGCATGGAAGTATGTCATACAACATTGCAAAAATGTTCATTGTTTTGAAACTCATTTTGTTTAGGAATTTTGTTTCGTTAAGTTAGATTTCATCCACGTAACTTGAGTGCGTCAAATCGAATGCTAATGTACAAGATTACGAAATATTTCTTAAGACGACAACCATGGGCTTATGAAAAACGGGAAGACAACTATAATGAGAATTAAGAGCTGAATAATTATAAAAAATACTGGAATGATTGAAACCTTAGAACATATTAGGGAAGTACATCTTAATATTAAATAACGCCAGACGACAAATAATACAACTCGTTACTTAAAAAATATTTGAAAAGGAAAGGACCAAAGAAGAAAAGAACCAAACACATTGATATTGCATTTTTTAGAGAATAAAAATTAATTATGAGAAACATGCATTTTAAAAATTATTTCTAATAAAGGCATAGGAATTTATTAATCGTGATTTTATTTATTAGAAAATATGGAGAAAATCTTTTTTTGTAAACAGATTATTATTTTTTGTATAAATTTATGTAGTATCTAAATTAGTCCGGTTCAAAATAGTCTAAGATACCGGCAGAACTTATAATCCGGACTATGCGGGATACATTGCTATGTAACAGAAATTGATATATGTCATAATGTATAGTGAATAATTAACAAGGTACATAAATTATTCATGATAACAGCAACAAAACACAGAAATGAAGCCCGTAAAAACTTCATTAAAACAATTCCGTCAGTGTCAAAGTCATTGCTAAACTGAACTCTTATTTATTGAAAACTGTGTTAAGCATTTTGAGCAGGAATTTCCTGTATCTTATGAGATTGCTTTCTGAGTACTCCTTTGAATATTTGCTTAAAATTCTATAAATAAGCTACAAGTACTTCATATCGTCACTTTCAGAAAACTTGCTCCATGATTCATAAGAAAAACTTCATGAAAAGATCTTGAAATTTCCCAAACTCCATGTTTTGTCTATTTCAGAAATTAAATAACATTTATAAAGAAGGGATTTTTTTTTATTAACTATAGTTTAAACCCACAGATATCCTACGACATTTTCAAGGCCTTTTTATTATTTATTTATTTATTTTTTCATTTACTGAAAATGAAGGAAAGCTTCAAAAAAAAAAAAAAAAAAAAAAAAACTATATATATATATATATATATAATTCTATATTTCACATTTACCATTCTTTTTCACGTGGATTTTTTCATTCGAGCTGACAACTATTATATTAAATATTTCTCCAATTCGTGACCTTAAGATATATTTTTCTCACTGATCAATTTATACAATTTATACCTGTATCTGTGCATGTATGGGAGTATGGGAGCATGTATGGGAGAAATGCTGAAAGTTTCTATAATAGGCACAGAAGATTAAAATATATATAAGAATGATTGATCAAAACTTTCATCAGATAATGCCTTAAAAGTTGTATATTCTCAGGATTATATCTCTTGTCTCATTAATTCAGAAAAAACATATTCGTTTGGGTACTTTTTAAAGTATTTGTCCTAGTATTTTGCATTTTTAACGCATTTTCAGTTGTGACGGTGAACATCTCTGGGGACGGACTCAAAAATCTGCTACCCGTCTTTTCCTTACCAGCAGTCTCTCGAGTGGACGTTCAACTGCACGGTATTTTAAGTGCGTCCACCTCATGCAGATATTCTTTATTTGCAAGCATTCTTTCTTCTTTGGAATTGCACCTGGGCCCAATGCAATAACAAGCCGCTCCCCGACTACCACGCCAAACGTTTTATTTGATAAATTAAACTTTATTTTGCAGTTCTTCATCAAAATATTACTGAATAGTTTATAAGGAAATATTTTATAACTTCTAAGGTAGCCCAACTACCTAACTAACTGGCTACTTCTACTCTATTCACCCTTGAAAGTTACTTGTTTGTGTCAGCGAGTTATCGTCTTCGCTAAATTCTGTGCACACAAGATACAACACAAAATGTAAAAGTTAACTTAACACTTTATTTCCTCACCGGTGCTGAGTTTAACTTGTAGTAATACGACAGAGAATTAGTCTTCTTGAAATACAGTGGCTCATGTTTGTTTTCGGACACTTACGTGTTTGAAGTTTATTTGCATAGATCATATTCTAAATATTGAAACTTTAGACTTCAAATTTTTTTCTAAGATATTACTTCCTTTCTATTTTAAGCTTTGCTTGTTACAAAATAACTACAAAAATATTTCTTGTAATAAAATAATTTACTTAAAAATCAATTTAATTTAATTAATTTTAATCAGAACTCGAATACACGAAAGTTTTGTTGAGATGATTTGGTAGACGATATTTCTCATCATAAGTCTTTGTTTTATTTAAAAATACATCACAAGATTTGCATTTGGAAATTATTACTTGATTTGCAAAATGTATTAAACTGTTCCATTTCTGAAAGGAGATTGGCAGAATGCTACAAGTTAATAATAAATTCTATCGAAAATTTAATTATTCATCATTTTAAAGATGGGTAAAATATTCAGAATACTAAAACAGTCGTTGATGTAAAGCATTCAACTATATTTGATGTTATAAAACGACGGAAACTATTTGGTACTGTTGGAAGTGCGCTAAAGTTTGAACCACATTTTAGACTAACATCACGAATTTATGCTTCGAAAAGTCAAATAAAACCGGAAACTAATGCGGTAAAACTAACAGCGGACTTAAACCACGGTTTGCAAAGATATAATCCTAAAACTATTAAAACGGTTATTAAAGTTCATGGTTACATTGAGCGATTAGAGGTAGGAGATTCCTCATCGACAAGAAAATTAAGTAAATACACATAGAATTCATAAAATGTATGCTAAGCAAACATTTTTCATATTGGAACTATGTTATACTTGCAGACCAGGCCAAATTAAATATATTTTGTTCGAAGGGTGAATTATTGTGTGGCGAAACTCGAATGAAGAAAGGAATCTAAAAATCCAGTTGCCTACTGCTAAGCTCAGGGATGGAAGTTAAATGGTTTGGAAATATTTTATTACTTTAGTTTTTCTGAAAATTAATGTGAATCAGTATGAATATGTAATTACTTTTATTAAAAATCTGACAGCATCTGCAAGAAAATTTAACATGTAAAATACATTCAAGTTTATCAGGATAACAATCTTAAACATACTTGCTTGTATAAATAATTGCCTAAATACTTGCTTGTATTATCATGCAATAGCTCTAAAATTACCCAAATTTCTCAATATTCTTTGCACCTAAAACTTGTCGAGCATGTGTGAGTGAGTGACTGATCATGGAGTGATTTGTAGAAAAGATAAGACAAACATGATATTTCTTCAAAGTTCTATACTAAAACAACTTCATTTGGAGGAATGGAACAAAATGGAGCATTATTACACGAAAATATTAGTTGAGGCCATGCCAAAGTGCCTGAAAAGTATCATTTTATCTGAAGGATATCCAACAAAATATTGAATGTCCCCTAATTTTCATGTTTTTATTAAATATAATCTGTTTCTTCAAAGTGTTCGAATACGTGTGCGAGTTAATTTTCAGAACGTTTTGAATAAATTTCTTTTAAACGTATTTTGAACAACTTTATTTCAATACAAGCAGAACTTTAAAAAGGTCACAAAAAGTATATGGGAAATGGTCTTTCATTAAACCTAACACTAAGTATAGATATACTAATACTAAGGTATACTAATTAGTCGTACAGAAATGAATATATAAATGGGAAGCTCAACGGATATTTAATACTTACAACCAGGCCACTATCAGGGCATTCACATGTGTCCTGTTCAGCAACATTCCTTCTATAAACAAGCGCAGTATATGTTTATATCAGTTTGCAATTTTTTTTTAACATTGCTTCCACTATTCCTCCTTTCTATTCCTTGCCGAATCACAAAGTGAAGCATATTCTAGCACAGCAGAGAGCGTGGGACTACATCTGTTTAACTGTTAAATACGACGGCAAAGTACTGGTGTCCCCGTCTTCCGTTGCCTGTTACTTATTAGCAAGCAACAGCAGCAGCGAAATCCAAATGTTTGTTAGAAATTATGTTGCTTATAATCACGATTGCCATAAAATCTGCATAACACTCTAAATGCAGCGAGTACGTCAAAAAACGAGACATAAAGGACATAATTAACGTTAAGTTTAAATTAGGTTAAAATAACACGCCGAACAACGATTAATTTAGTGGTCAAAGAACAAAAATCAGCGTTATATTTGCAAATTTTCCAGGATTAGTTTGACATGCTGACAGCTCATTTCACTCTGACAGCTGAAGAAGGTTCGGTAAAACCATCGAAACTAATCCTGGAAAATTTTAAAATATAACGCTGATTTTTGTTTGACTTCTAAATTAATAAGCTTAACTATTAAGGTCGTATCACTCATTTAAGTTATTTGGGAATTAAAGCAGTTTAAGTATAATTTTTCTACTTTGTCACACGATATAAAACAGCTAACACTGGGATCACCTTCATGGTGCCTATATAAATGGGAAGCTAATTCTACATCACAAACACAGAGGCCAGCAATTAACTTCCTTTCAAATTCTTCCATTTGATGCTGAGTGGATCAAAACGCACAGTTTACAATATTTTGTGTAAGAAAGAAAAATTCGCGCGCTTTCCTTGCAATGCTAAAACCAACAGGAAAGTTACTTGAAATAGTTGTTCGTCCAAAACATGAATGTGTGATAGCTCCTTTAATCACCGCAAATGAAATCTAAGAAAATGGGCTTCAAAGCAAAAGTTATGGTTAATTAATCTTGCTTTTATCTATTAAGTAAAATCAAAATTGTTTTTCTTACCATTTTTCCTTCGTCAATTTCACCAATGTCTAGAACTTGAAATTGTATGAAGACATTAATGGGTTTACCTAAAGAACACAAATGAGCTAAAATATTTTGAAAAACATCAACAATAACAACAATAATAATAATAAATACTTGAAAAAATTATACTCCGCCCAAAAGGGCGTTTTTTTCATTTACAGACACATACACGTTTTGAGAGCATTTGGACTAACTCTGCTTTGGGATAAAAATATTTAAAAACAACGTATCTTTAAAATTTCCGATAGACAGTCTCGCTCGCCGGAGACAAAATTGTTTCTTTCCACACTGTGTTGCCACTGCTCGCTTTCAAATTGTTGAGCTTTTTATCAAAAATTCGTTAAAGTTTTACAAACTGTGAAATAGACAATAAAACAAATTCCAAATTTGGGCTTCTAGGTGCCCATGTTCGAGCGGAGAACTACCTTATTCAAAATTTGATGACTCTAGGTACCGTTGTTTTTTCACAATGCACGAAACATTCATTCATTGATGCAGATTCTTCATTATTTAACTTCTTTAAATATAACACAGGGCGATAATATTTGGTGGCAACAATTTGCAAAGAGATACGTCGGATTTAACTGATTCGATGCAAAATGCCGTTTCTAGACTAATAGTCCTTCTATACTCCTTTGGGCTAGTAATAATAATAATAATCATAATAATAGTAAATGCTTCTTTAAATAAATTTTGAACACAGACTAGCCTAAAGCTTTACCTTCGTGTTCTGGAGCTTTGTATATCTTATAATCCTTCGGCAGCAACTCCTTGCAGAGTTCATCAACTGATGCACTAATAAAAGAAAAAGATAAAAAATTAATAACTTTAAACAAAACTTCATTATTTATTTATGCAAAAGAATAGTAACTTCTCAGAAATAAAATTAAAAAATGAAATTTTAATTTAAAAAAATCTCATGTGTACATCACATGACTTCCTTGTACGGAATATTAAATTATACGCATTTTTTCTTGCATTTCTTTTAAACTTATTGGATTCAATTAAATCCACTTCGCCGACAGCGCATAAACCGCAATAGAATAAGTGCATTCTTTAAAATTCAGTCTATTCGTTTACCATAGCGACACTTTGGCGCTAGGTTCATTTAACAGTATTATATTTCTTTCATATTATAACTCAGAATACACAAAATTTATATCATTTAAAGAATTATCTAATCGTTGCCACATGTTCTATTCAAATACTATAACAAAGCTAGAGCGATGTATAAAAGAAATTAAGCAAACAAAACAAACAAAACAAAAAAGAAACAGTTTTTCACAGACGATTGAGTATTTCTCATTCAATTAATTCAGTTTTCACTTCGCGACAAGGCAAAAATACATAAAAACCCAAAACATCTGTATTAAAAATTACGAAGTAAATCTTAAACGCTTATTTCCTCGAAAAAATTCCAGAAAGGATTAAGCATGATTTAATTTGCAATAATAAATGAAGGCGTCATCTTTGTTGTTACGAAGCTACGTTTCTCTAGATTGGCAACAAATCCACTATTCTGCTGCTTCAAATGTAAACAAGCAATGGCCGCCATCAAAAAGATTATTAGGCTTACGGCACTTAAACAACTTTAAAATTGTTGATAATTCTAAAAATATTGCATACAGATTTACTAAAGGTATAAAAACCTTAACCGGAAAATAAAAACAACATAATTCAATCATTTTTTAAAGCAAAAAATGTACAATTTACAAACATATAAGAGTAAAGAAACTGAGATCACTGAGCCGGGTATAGAGTGGATATATATATATATATATATATATATATATATTTATATTTATATACGTTTTGGTGTGGCCGATTTGAACCAAAATACAAGGTGCACATCTACATGTTATAGCAGTCCTAGATACAAAATTTCAATGCTCTGAGGCTACTAGTTTTTGAGTTATGCGTAGATACCTACGTAGGTACGTACATACGTTCGTACAGACGCCACGAAACATTCTCTTCAGAATTAATTTTAAAGCAGTTTTATAATTTTTTTGGAATAAAAGAATCTTTTATTCTGTTCTTACGTACAGATATCACGCAAAAACATCGTTAAATTGCCTTCGATAGCGGTCAAAATGGATATTTTCGTTGAATTATGCTGCCTGAAACTTTTCGCGATTACAATACTTCCTTTTTACATCGTACAAGGAAGTAAAAAATCAAAACTGAAAATGCAAATAAATTCGCAGTTTCAAATGAAATAATGCACAGAATTCATAGTGCATTTCATTCGATAGGGCCTCTATTACATTACCAGGATTGTTCATGTGTTACGGCGTTTACTAGACATTGTATTCTAATATTGTTTCTGTAGGAGTTCAGCGATTGAAGAAAAGACTATGTTAAGGTGGGTAGGTGTTACTGCAGTTTAAAGAAGGTATACTGTTTTCTCCTAATATATAAAACCCTCTAATAAATTTTATCATTCTTACCCCGTGCCTTCGTAGTGTAACTGGAGGTACGTCCTGCTAGCAGTCGGAAGGTCCGGAGTTCGAATTCCGTCGAGGGCATTGCTTGCTGTCGGCCATCTGCCGCTTTAAAAATTTTATTACGCTCTACAAGATGCTTCTGAACTAAAATGTGGTAGACGATAATTCGTCAGAAGATTTCGATAATTCATCATATTGATTCGAGACGTTCGTCACAGACGCTAAGATTTAGCAAATAGTCATCACTCTATAAGTAGAGCAGAATGTAATGAAATTTTTTGTTATGACCGCTTGCCTTCGTGGTACAACTAGAAGCACTTTCGGATACCAAATGGAAATTCCAGATTTCAAATCTCAAGAAGAGTATTTCAGATTTTTTGTGTTTCCTGCCTCTAAACAAGCCTAATGTCTTTATAAACTTGTCTTGACAAATTAAAACGACACGATCTTGCCTTGAAATGAACAAGTCGAAAAGAACGGAATGAAGCTAGAAGCAGCTCTTGTATTCTGTTGTCATTTCGCAGTCTTTAATTTAATACGACTTCATTTTTCTTCCACATGTAATCATACATAGGTGATGTTCAAAGTGTTGCCATATAACAAAACAAAGACTTTTAATTTGTATTTAAATTTTATTAAGAAAAATTTTATTAATTTATTAAGAATTAGTTGGAAGTGTTAAACGTTCTTATTAATAATTTAAATTTAAATTTTATTTTTTAATAATGTGTTTAACTAATATAATTTAATATTCGTGTGATTTGTAAGCATCTGTAACCCCACAATATCGAAGTCACAATTATGTTCGTAGCACGTAAGAGACATCCATTTCATTAAATAAAGTAGAATTTGGACAAAACATTTCTGCTGAAAGAATGCAACATTATAATACAACAAACTGATATTAACAGAAACAATTTAAATACTTAATGTAGATATCTAACTGAAATAATGTAGTATATGTTAAAAGTAATATGACCTAGAAAGGTTTCGACGTTTTTGTTCTCAAAAAGTAACCCATTCTTGTATTATAGGTTTCATTCTTTGTCAAAACTGCCACATATTGTTTTATATTTATACACGTTTATTACCAGGTTTCAAGCTACTCAGATTAAAAGCTGAATAAGTTAGCTTACTAAACGCAGCTTTAAGGATAAAATATTCACAGAAATTAGACACGCATTCAAAGTAATCGAGTAGTTACAATTAAACTGGATTTTTTTTTTTGTTGGTCGTATTTGTTTTTAATCCTTTCTTTGAACTGGATTTGTCAGTAGTATACTTTGTTTTCATTCATCAATCAATAGTCGAAAGACATGTTCGTGTTTTGCAGTTTGTTATTAATGTTAAAATAACTAAGCAAAGCTGTCAGTTTTAAGAAAATTCACAGGAATTTATTTCTTTTTTAGATTAAAACATTTTTCAAAGTAATAATAATAGTAATAATATAATAGAATAAAAATGGATTTTCTAAGAGTTTAACCGTGATATACTTAACGCATTCTTCATATCCCATTTCAGAAGTATGTAAAATGTTTCTAAATATTTCTAAAATAAGATACAAATCCAAATGTGTATTCTGAAAGTTAGAAGTTTAGCAGCGGCAACTATTTATTTACAAACTGACGCGAAAGATATCTGTGCTAATCTTCTATTTTTAAATGAAGTTGGCAGCATTATTTGCAATCCGACGCCAAAGTTATAGAAGTAATATTAGTAAATAGTAGTCTGTAAATAGTAATAGTATATCTGTAGCAAATGTCTGTTCTGTTGATGATTTGAATGAAACGGTCTGTTGCTTGAAAGATCTCTAGAATAATTTAAAAAATAATGCTATGAAATGGTTCCTTTATCTTTGATGATCAAATCGTAGTTATATCTAGCGAGCATTGTTAATGATTGAACAATTCTCAAGTTCAATAAAAGAATTAATCAATCACTAATTGTGATACACGTACCAAAGCACGTTCGGCAAAAGTATGGAGCGATTCTGCAGGAAGGGTTACCATTCCTTTTGCATCGCTGGCCACAAATTCATGTCCAGAAATGAGCTGTAATATAATACTGGCAGTTTGTTTCTGAGATATGATATTTGTCAAATTAATGACATAATAGTGGTGCATGAGTATCACCTTAATTTTTACGCTGATGAGGTTCTAATAAGCTCCAGTGTAATGGCATGGCATAAAAAGTCTGTACTTTAGCGCTCCAAGTGTGTTCGAGCTGCATCTGAAAGATAGCCATTTCTGTATTTCGAATAACTCTGTTTTTTACCTTTTATACAGAATAAAGGAACTATCACAATCGCGAAAACTTTAGTCTATTATATATTTCAACGAAAATATTAATTTTGACCGTTTTCGAACCTAATTTTTTTCTTTTACTTATTACGGGTTCCGCCCTTAGGCACTACACAGAAAGGAAGGGATGCCCCGTGGAGGTCTTTTTTAAGGGAAATTGGTTCGTATCCACGTTTCACATAGGAAAAACCACGAAAATGCCCCTTCAGCCAGCCCGTTCACCCGAACCGGGAATCGAAACCCGGACCGAACTACCAGTGTTTAGTGACTTTTAACGCTCGGCCGCTGGTGAGCCTCTCAAATCCATTTGAACGAGTTTTGTGCATGATATCCGGACGTACAGGCAGAATAGAGGACTGTTTTTCCAAAATGGATTGTGAAATGGATTTAAAATGGATTCAGAAGAGATGTTTTTCCGTGCAGTCTACGCACTTACATATGTATCTATCTCGCATAACTCAAAAACAAGCAGCCGTAGAATGTTGAAATTTTATACATGGGACTGCCTGCTATAACTGCTATAATATTTATTTGTGCACTTCCGGTTTTCGCTGCAATCAACCGCACCAAACTTATATAACTATAACTATATATATATATATATATATATATATATATATACATATTCCCACTCTGTCAACCAGCTCGGTGAGTTCAGTTTTTATTTTTATATGTTGGTAAATGGTAAATTGTGCAATTTTTTTCTTTAAAAGTGATTGAATTATATTGTTATTATGTTTCGATTAAGATTTGTATGCCTTTAGTTAATCTACGTGCAACAGTTATAGAATTATCAACAATTTAAATGTGGCTCTAGGTCTAACGAAGCCTCATTTCTTTACATTTGAAATTCTTAGTAGATTAGTTAAGAGTTGGTGCACCAACTTCAGTGGACCGAAAAGTAAACTTTCAGTTTTTCTCAACAAAAAATCTGTCTTCGTACCCTCTGGCTGAGTTGTTTGATTTTGAGTAGAAACTCTAATTTTAATTTTAAAAATCCTTTTTTAACTGCTGTTAACTGTATTTGGTGTTTTTCACCCTGTATTTT